GACAAGCAAGCATAAGTTACTGCAGAAGGATCTCGACCATTTCCATGTATACATAGATCCAGAAGGAGCTTAGATAGGGGAAGGCTTTTTGTGGGGAGAGTTGCTCTTATATAGGATATGGCTGAATGTCTTGTTCTTGCAAAGTGACAGACTATTAAAGGAGAAACATCCTTTACAATGCATCCTTCAAGCCCTCCACATGTACACAGGAGTGCAGGAATGTTGCAAGACTAACATTTCACGCTTACAGTAATCATCAATTATTGACACACTATTTAAGCACATCAAAATGGACACTGAAGGCGCACTAAAAGGTACTAAGCAAGGCCACAAATAAATATTTGTAACCTGAAATTGTGACACTAGATACCCTGAAGCATTCCCAGTCATATGAGAAAGCAAAACACATTTCCATTTCATGTATTCTCCGAACTGTGTATTACCTTTAAGAAATCAAGGCATGCATTAATACCACCTTGTATCACAGCCACACTGATGGACTGATTCAGTGTTTTAATCACACCCTGAACGCCGTACTGAACATGTTTGTGAATCAGGCACTAAGAGGCTGCTGTACCTCTTCTTCACAAATCACGAGGTGCCTTAGGCTCCCACTGGTTTCCCTCCATTTTAATTGCTCATCGGGTGAGTTCTGGATTCCCTTAAAAATATGTGGGAAAGAAGAAGTCAGAAAAAGACAACCTATCCACCTTCATTGTTTGAGTGAATGAGTGGCGAAAATGGCAGCACTAGCGAGGGGAGAGTCACATGGGAGTGAGAGATGCAAACAACCCGAAAGGGATATGTGAGAGCATGAGGGTGAGTTGCCTTCTCCTAGCAAGAACAAATTAGCAGTAACAAAAAGTGGCCAGTCAATTACAAAGCTGCTAAACTGGATACCAAAAAAACCATCACATGACCCTTTTACAGGAATGAAAGTCCAGTAGAAAATCATTTAGCTAGCAGTGCTTCCCAATCCAGGCCAACAATGGACAAGAGCTAAAAGTACTTCAAGAACAGGTTGCTAAACTGTTCTGCAGGCCTGTATTGAGTTATGGCAAACAGTGTCACCAAAGCAGAAATGGTACCAAAAGCTTGAGAAAGTGGCAGAAACACTGGGCATCACTCTGTAGAAAAGACGACTGCAGTCCAGTGATACAAGTGCTAAAACATATTGAGAGAATATGATTCTGCATCAGTTTCAGGCAACTTCATTCCCTATGGAAGTGCAATCCCTGCCCAAGGGCTAGGACTGATGAGATTGATACTGTGGTCTAGGACTTAATTAAAACTGGATGTCCCAGGCTTAATACATACTCAGAACAAGCTCGCTTGGGGCTCCCAGAGCACAAGATTTGCAGTCCTGCTACAGTCCTGGTTTTCATATTTGTAGCTCTGATTTGTTATCCATCTTCCAGGTCCTCATTCCCCAGCATCATCAAACCTCCAGGACACCTTGTCCCAGAACTGGCTGCCCCAAGTCCTGGAGGTTCCCTGTCTAATGGAATCAGGGACTTTTGGCAGAAAGGTTGACAGAATGTTTGGGACAATCCAATTTGGGGTGCTCTGTGTCCTTTCACATACAATCATACAATATCAGATGCAGAGTGCACTAAAGCTTGTTCTGTCGCACAAATTTACCTACTATCCAAATAAAATAATAGAGGTGCCAAGTCATTTTGGCTCTTTCTCTATGCCTCTACAGCAAAACAACTTCTGCTTTGAATTTTCTGTCTGAGAACTTGAATAAAGTGTATAAGTTGAGTGAGAGCTGTGTTGTTATATTGCGCGACATGCCTTGTTACAGGGCTTTATCAGAGTTGGTAAGTACTTTGGAGATAAAGATGTGTTGCAAAACAATTCGAGGCAGATATGCTGTTCTGAGTCACAAGAAAAGTTATTGATGTCTGTGTCTCAAAACGTTTTAAATATTTCAGCTGTCACATATGGCAACAACATTTTACTGCATCTAAAGCCGAAACTTTCTGATAGTAATGCTATTTTTTGAAAATAATCGATACAATTGCCCCTTTGGTACTCCAGGAAAACGTGCTCTACCTCATTTACATATCGGAGAGGAAAATCAAAAAGTCATCGTTTTAGTGCCAGCTGTAGATGCACAGGTAGTAATTTGGTGACAACACAATTAATTATGGATATCTGCTTAACAGACACTGCTTCACTTACCTTCCATACGGCGCGAAATCCAGCATTTACCATTTCAGCATTGTTCAAAGAGTTTGAATAACAGCGATATTTAACGCAGAATATCCCTGAAGAATTTAAATATCCTCATAAACCCATTCACATGCAGGGACAAAATAACAAATTATTTGTTCTCTATGAGCCATAAAGATCATCAGTTGCTCAAATTTGGTACGTCTATGATGTTTCCAAAGCATTGGCCTAAATGAGTAGGGGTGTTCAAAAGAATGAAAACCTGCATCCATTAAAAAAAAATAGCATGTGTCCTACTATATAATCCAGTTAACACTGACAGCCTGAGCAAACAAGCCATTCTCCTTTTCTTTCCATCTCAGGGACTTTCTGAATATAACATAGTATATCACTTTTATGTGATGGTGGAACATAGTATGGCATTTAAGATATGGAACAAAAATGGAGATGGGTGTTGGACACAACTGCATGTATTTTAGGCCAATGAAACTTCATTAATCAATGCTTGTCTATAACTAAGTTTGATGGCCGCTCTCCGAAAGGCCCCTGTAGTCAACCATCTAGGAGCTAAACAAGTACGTGTGCTGTTTCTGTTACTGGAATTTCATTCTTATACAAAAATATTCAGCTTATATAAGGGTTTTTCAGGCCTTTTACAGTACTGATATTGATATGTAGCCTAGTTATAGTTGATTTGGATAATATTTTATATCCTAGCTGCTGGGAATAAAAATAGCCATTTATTCATGAAATAGCATGCTGACCGTGCAATTACCATAAATGGATATTATTACCTGAAACAAATGGCATCAAATCTAGTCAAAAGTGTGTCTTACAGTATGAAGGTGCTTTAGTATGTATTTGAGATTAATAGTCATGAATACTTGTTAATAGAATAGAAAGGGAAAAACCAAAAAATGCAGTAAGTAGACACCGTATGCCACACATCAGCTCATCAGGCAACAAAACAGTCTGTAAAAATGGAAATGGATGTGGACACAATTCCATTACATTCAGTCAATACATGGGATAAAATAGTACTACACACATTCGAAGCATCTGCCTTCTCATTCCAGTCCTTTCATTCTTCAGCTGTATCACTTGCAATGTTCCCTTCAGAAGCAGTGCAGTTTTCAATCAAGATATTGAGCAATTCATTGTAATTCAGAGAATAATGTGTAGTTAAAAAAAATCAGCTAATTGTAGCTAATTTTCTCACTACAATGTCCAATTTACTTCATTTAATATCCAATGTGAATGATTAGAAAGTGCTCAGTATTTTGACATAATGTCATATATGACTAATCTACAGTGAGTTATCAATTCTGGCACAAAGTACATTGAATCATATTACTGACATAGATTCATCTTCAGGCCAGTATTAATAGATTAATACAGTATTAAGAGTTTAATAGTCTACACCCTCCTGAGAAATACAAAGGTGGGTAAACTAAATATTATTCAATACATGTAATAATGAATGGATTTTTTTGGGAACCAAAAATGTGTTTAGTTTGTCACAACTTATGCACATTATTTTGAATTGGTCTTGAGCATTATTAAACTGGAGTCCCTTATAGAGATGTATGCATCTGTCAAGGGAAAGGTCTTTCCACTCCTTCAATGAAATTAACCAAAAATGTACTTAGGAGCCATAATCAAAACCTAGTATGATTGGTCCTTTTATGTAATTTTTAAATCCATTTGCAAAATTTCCTGCAATACACAAAACAAAATGAACTACAATAAAATACACAACAGAGGCCCATAGCATGAGGTAATTTTCAGGTACAGATTAGAAACACATTCATAAAGGCTGTTTGTTCTGCCAAATTATATAGTTACACATTACAGGTCACAAAGCACTATAACATTAGACCAGGTGTTTCCAAACTTTTCAGCGTACAAACCCCAAAATGACAGTGACATAAATTTGCAACCCCCATTTTGCCAAATGAAGGGTGGGGGGCCCTTGGAAAATGGCTTGTTGAGGTTAAAATGGAATGTTTTCAAGCTTTTTAAATGTTATAAACATATTCTAGAAATCAGTACGTGACCATTTGAGAGCCCCTGCATTGCACCTAGTACTGATGACGTAGAACTGAAAAATATTTTGCAACTGGTAACCTACCAGACAGGTCCAAGAGAGACGCTTAAGCAGCAGGCAGGTTGGACAGCCAGCCCAATTAAACCCCCCCCCAAACAGTCAAATTGTATAAATTATACAGTAGTTCGCTGATACAAAGTCCTGGTTGTTTTGTAAAAACTAAATTAAAAAATATAATTGCATTGACTGGAAAGTACCATGAAAGGAGCAATTTTTATATTTATATTTTATATAAAAATATTTTACCAATGAATTTTTGTTTCATACCATTGCTCACGGGCTTAAATTATGGGAGGGATGGGGGGCTGTAACCCCCCCCCCCACCAACAAATCAAAACTGGCTAATGCAACCCCCCCCTCCCCACAATAATCATGTGTCCCTCTAAATAGGTGGAGGCCTCAACCCCCCCCCACTCAATGTTCAAATCAAAGTTAAGCACTTGCCATTGCTACCCTATTCCAGATCACAAATTTTCCCAAAGAACCCCTTACTGGAATTATGTATTTGTGGGGGGGGGGGGTACCAGCTAAATTGGACTGCAGGTTTCTGAACAGTAAAATGATGGGTGTGCAGGAGTTTAACCAAACGTGAACTTTAATGCTGGCAGTCTGAAGTGCAGGAAGTAAATGGGAGACAGGGTGAAGGAAATACCAGGAAGTCATATAGTTAACGTGGGCAGGGGGGTGTGGGGGGGTGTGGAGCTTCGTACTGTACCTTTCTGCAGGCTCATATCCACCATGCGTGGCTCAGCAAGCTCCAGAAAGAAATTTTTGTTTTTCTCATATTCCTCGTCATCTATGACTTTCACCTGAATCGATTTGCTGCAACGGAAGAGAAGCAGAACAGAAAACAAGATGTGAAGAGGGAAGAGAACAGACTGCGGCTATTAAAATAATAAAGCAGGATACGTGTACAACATACGCATGTCTACTTTGGTGAAAATGCTAAAGTGAAATGTATGATGGAACTTTAACAAGCTATACATAATTTGCTTAAAAACACTTTCCTAAAATAAACAAGAACCATAAACACGATCATATGAAAACTATATATTATAGTTATTCTAGAATCATGATTCTAAGAATATATTGCTTGTGTCATAAGTAGTACAATCATTTTGATCAGCATCGCCTTATGAACACCTTAAAGCCACCCTTAAATACCCTGTGGTTTACAATGCACTCCACGTAACACAATTCCTTTGATGAGAGAGAGTAGAAGGAAGATATAATTCAACACTCCTTAAACGTCTAAGCGCAATTACACCACACAAAACGCTAGGGGATATAGATAAGGCACAACGCGAGGAATTAAACATTTTCTTTGGGTGTTTCTGCATGTTTTTCAAACTAACCCATATTAAACAGGCGACAGAATAATCCACCTCTCCAGTACCGCCCCAGATGGGCTGTTCCAAGATCACACAAATAAATGACCATACCTGTTTTCCTCGACGGAATTTGTGTGACGCTGTGAAACGTATATTATTCCAGAGAAACAGGCATGAAACAGCGAAGAAAATATAAAATAACAGGTTTTATGAGCATGTCCTGTAGCATGAGAACAAACACCATGTTCTTAATGTAACTTATTCTATTTCTGCTCCCATTTTCCTTGATTATTAATTAATACCTCACAACATACCATGTAGAGCTGATCTAGTTACAGATGAATTGTGGTTATCACAAAGAGAAGGTAAATTACAGAGTAGCTAAGTACTCCTGTGGCTCACCAACAGCATTATGTAGTCAGTAACTGAGTACTCCTGTGGCTCACCAACAGCATTATGTAGTCAGTAACTGAGTACTCCTGTGGCTCACCAACAGCATTATGTAGTCAGTAACTGAGTACTCCTGTGGCTCACCAACAGTATTATGTAGTCAGTAACTAAGAACTCCTGTGGCTCACCAACAGCATTATGTACTCAGTCTGTTGTGACAGTTTAGAATCTTTGCAAATTCTTGGCAAAATCAGAATGCTATAAAGAGACATTTCTCCTCTTTAGTCGTGGACAAATGAGTCAATAACAGAGAATGTAAGAGAATAGAAAAAAAAAAAAAGAAACAAACCATTATCCAGTCAAAAACAGACATATTCATGGTCACCTATCAGTTTAAATTCTTACTCTGTTAGTATTAAGTGTGTTTTCTCTTCTTTAATAATCATCAAAACTGACCAGCTTTTATTAATGATAGAATTGTGTAAAATTTAGTTTATGATGTGATCTAGAGACAATTAAACTGGTCTTGGGTCACTTGCTTTATTCAATAAAAATATTGGAAATTTATAGGTTTAATAACTTTATTCATTTGTTTACAAAAATAAATTTCATATTAGAAACAGCCAGTAGTTTTATGTAAAACATTAATTTCAAGTCATAATAAATCAAAACCTAAATTATGGTTCTAAAGTTCTGAGTTAAAAAGTTCATTGACAAACAGTCTCTTTGGGTGCTTTTCAATTAATAACACCTCTGCAGTAACATAAAATATTAAACATTTGTGTTTAGTATCTCTTTGAATCCAGTGACTACAATTGCAATTAATAGGAAAATGGTAAGAACAGAACTTAATGAGTCAGTCAAAAAAACGACACTTAATAAAAATAAAATGTCTGTGTGGAAGATATGTGCTGATATTTTAAACATTGCTTGTCAATAGACTTTTGTTATGAAATCAATATATTTCAAATTTTTACAGAATTATGTCAAGCGTTCCAAGACTTTCTGTGAGCACAGTATAACAGATTGACATACAATACATTCATGATTCAAATAATTTGTTTCCATTTTCTACATAATTTTTATATTTATATATTGTATACTATTGTTTCACTATTGTACCTATTATACTATTATGCCTTAAAATCATTATATTGCTTTTTTGCTTCTGTTGTTGCAAAGGTCCCACAGCAGATGATACAGAACAGACTGGAATAATTCAAGTGACAAAGCTTGAGAAAACATCCTTAACTACCTGAATCACCCCAGTCAGTTCCCTGTATCTGTGTCTCATGACAGCTATATTCTGAACTAACACAAAACCTGATGGGAAATTTCTTTAATTAAACAAACTTGGTTTCTATCAGAGAGCAAATGAATTATACCCCCATCATCCCAGTTGGTGCTCCCCCGCTTATTAATCTCCTCTAGCAGTCATTAAAAAGGCAGTAAATATATTTTCCATTTACATCTAGGAATCTATGTAACAAAATCAATCCTACTCTCTTTTATGTCTATTTGGTAAATGTATGCAATTAATTCTGAAGATAACTAAAACTATAAGAAAACTTTAAGGATAAAAAATCCTTTGCATCAAGATTAAAATGCATATGTAATCCTATTTGCATATTTAAAGAAACAAATATATAAATTATGGATTATATTTTCAGTGAAGTATGCAGGGCAGCAGTCACAAAGACAACGCATCTAAATGAACTGAATCCATATCCTTATGTGAGGGACCACATGTGTTTTTCTGTTCTAGAGTCACACATATTCTGCAAGCCAGACGTCACAGTGCTTATGATTAGACAGGAGAGGAATTTGCCATTCTAGTGATATGCTTATACCTCACTCACGTCTGAGTTTTCATATCTGACATATCTGAGTATTCCTGGTAACGGCTGTCATTATTAGATGCAGATCATGTTTAGCTCTTGTGTCCGACTGGACACTGCCAATTTCTCTCTCTCCTCACATATCATACTCATTCAATTGAAAACAACACGCTTGCAGCATTTCAGTCTATACAGCCTTCAAAGAGAATTATTATTTTTTTGAAAACACACTTGTATGTGAAGTTTTAAGGTTGCAAAACCATCAGCCTCATGGATAATTCTTATAAAATATTAGTGGTTCCAACTTCATATTCACACGTTTCTTTTCAAAACATAAAAAAAAATAAAATGCTGTGAACCTGTGCGAAATAAAACACTAAATAAAACATGCTACTTTTAATTCAACTATTGTTTTACAGTGTCCTTATAGTCTATTGGTAATTGAAAAGATGAATTCTCAGAAACAGAATGATTTTCACCAGGCAGGATGGCAAACAAGGACATGTGGAATGATGGAAGGAACTGGAGCATCATTTGGGAGCTCTTCACTAAAACCAGCCTTTTCCAGTTGCAAATTGCATAGTATTAGATTTTATTTTATAAGTAAAAATGGACTGTGTGCCATGGTGTTCTGTTGTTTGACATAGCCAGAGATGAAGGCTTGACATTCAGTGTCTGTTTTAATGTTTTCCCTGTGTTCTGTGGGTGCCTGGGAGCCTGGGATGGGTTCTAGGTGACCCTGAACAGGGTAAACTTGTGAACTGACGTGCAACAGCAGGTGAATGATTCATAAACTCTGGGATGACCACAGGACTCCCATCAAGAAGAAAAGGAGAGGTGATATTGAGAATACAAACTATTTCTTGTATTACTAGTGCATTTAGTGCATGAACGCACTAAATGAGCACTGTTTATTGAACACGCTCATATTTTTGGTGAACGGTGAGCTGAATTTGCAACTAATGAATGTGAACATAAGTAGCAATAATAAGGAAAAAATGTAACTTTTGTATTGTGATATGAAATATGATGTAATACGATGTCTCAGAATTGCGCCTTGGAAAATTATTATGCAAAGATCTTGATTTTTTCACGCGTTCCTTATCTTGATCAGTGTTGATGCGCGTCAATGCCCTGGTCATGACACTAAGGATTTGTTTATATCAATAAAGAGCTTTCTAATGGTGGGTGTTGCTAGTGGTGAAAATGTAACTTTGGATTCATAGCAGCTCATAAAAAAACTGGAAGTGTCACTGGCCATATCGTCCTTGGTACCTTTCACGGTCCCTAGTGTGTTCCCCTGGTCCCAGAACCACCATGTGGCCAAATGGGTTAAGCCTGTGGTTAAGAACCGTGCATCCCTGCCGTCATCTTTTTTGGACCTTGTAGTGATCAGTTGTTCTCCCCAATATTAACTATTTTCTTGCTTTTTGTATCTTCTGTTTCTGGTTATCCTTGCCTGTGTAAAGTCGTGTAGTTATGTTCTGTTTCACATATATTCTTCGTTTCTCCTACTGCTTCAAGTCCTTAGTGCTTGTTAATTACCTTCAGCTGTTCCCAATAGCTCCTAGTTAGTTATGGCCTACACCTAGCCCTCATCGCGCCCTCATGTTTTGAAAAAAACATCACTGACTTGATAACAAGTACTTCAGAAAGGTTTCTGATTGCTCTGACATGATAACCAAAGTTAAACCCTAAGTTAAATGTCCTCAAAAGAATGCATATACTTGTTTAAAAGTAAAGAAAGAAGAAAAAGGATTCCACTGGTCATGTCAGCTGTGGGTAGACAGCAGTTTGGGCCAAAGTCTATATATAGGGCATATGTTCAGCAGTGACAGCTGTGGGCTATAGTGAACAGGAGTCAGCGTGCCTTCAGAATAACACGGTCACTAAAGAATGATAAGGGCGGAAGATAACATCTCATAACAGAATGAATTACAAAATCTAAGGAGTGAAATGGCTGTGCTGCCAGATTAACAAAGTTCACATGGTATAACGATTCACGTTGATACATTCCAGGAGCAAAAATTCTTCATCCTACCCGCCCAAGGTCTTTTTCTCTATCAAAATTCCATGACCTATCCATTGTCCGTACTCTCTTAAAAGGCTAATGATTAAATTATTTCATCAGTCAATTATATATATACACATTCAACTGCCAATTTGTTATGCTGTGTTTAAATAGCAACTGATACTTTATTGATCCCCATGGGGGTCTTTGCAACTAGCTCTCTGTAGGTGAGAACAAGCTGGCCCTGAAGAG